AACTAGTAGTTATTGCGTACATATGAGTATTTTCATTAAGTACTGTATTTAAATTAAATTTATGTTACCTGAGTAATATGTCCGTGGGGTAAAATAGTCGTGTTTTAACATTACCTTTTTACCTGTAGGTATTACCCTAAGGGACGGGTAAGTTAGAATAGAATTTCTGTTATAGTTTTGGTGGATATCTTAATTTCGTATTTTTTAATGTCACTTTTTTGATGAAGGATATGAAGGTGTTGAAATCATTTCTCAGATCGTATAATTATTTTATTAAAATGTCATTTCTTATTTGACTGTACAACATAGGACAACGATCTGGATTTGAATTGGGTGTATCACAATAAACAGTATAGTAGATATTAAATTTGATCTTTGCCAAAGTTGTAAAGTTAAATAAATAGTTTTTTATACCATTTAAACATAATTCTAGATAACTTTCCCATAGCACAGAGCTATGACCTCTAGTAGTAAATCTGATGTCTCTACCCGCTCTATCAAAGTGTTTACGAGTTGACTTGGACTCTACCGCTCATAGCTAAGAGCTTTATTGTATAATAAACGCTGTGAACGTCTCTACATTGTCATCTCAGTTGAAATGACGTTTGGAGATGAAAGGTGAATGACCTGCTGCAAAATAATTATTAATGTTGGACTATCTCAGTTATTATAGTAAGTTTGATGAGAATCAAGATGCTGTTTTGGATGGATCTAGACATCAAATCTTCTCTACATATAAGGGTCTTCATATAAATGTCTTCCATAATGTCCAGGCTTGGTCCCTACCAAGCATTAGACATATAATTTAAAAAGTTCAAGATTATCATCATCGTCATAACATCACGCCTTTTAACCCCAAAGGTGTAGGCAGAGGTGCACATTGCGGTACTGCCACTGTACAATCTAACACCCACTTTTCACTATTTATGTTATGAGTCCCATGTAATAGGAGGTGTGGAAGCCTATCGCCATATACCGGGCACATTTCTAGACTCCGTGCTGCTACTGAGATTTTTTTAATACTTTCTTAGTCTCTTCTCTTTAATAGTCTCTGTCAAATGTCCACACATTACATGTCCTTTAATCAGTAATTTCTACTACTACTTACTACAGCAAAAGTGGAGTATTGACAAATGTATTTTACTCGGCCGTTCTACATGGCGTACTCACATAAACGAAATAATAACAAAATAAAAACGCTTCACTGAGTTCACCCGCTACTAATAAGGTTGGTATAATTTCCAATACATGTATTTACACACATTACCACACCCTATAATCAAGTGAACCACAACAAGCGATAGTTTTATAATGATTATATTATTCGATGACCACTGGACACTAATTAGACATCTGCTAATTTAATTACCTATTAATTAGAGACAGGCCATAATTGGTTTGTTGTAATATACGTCTTTTGTATACAAATATACAGTAAATAATTTTCATTTCCATATACGATAAATTGAGGAGCAGTTATAAAGCACACGGTCATTTGACAGTCCATGACAATCACCTACCTAACCGGTATTTCCGAATCGACACGGCGTTCAAATGTACAAGAAAAGAGCGCATTCCTTTTTAAAAGGCCGGCAACGCACCTGTGACTCCTCTAGTGTTGGGGGTTCCTATGGGCGGTGCTGATCGCTTACCATCAGGTGACCCGTCTGGTCGTTTGCCTTTTAATTTATAAAAAAAACTGTGAGCCCTCTACAGTATACACACAATAGAATTACTCACAATCACCCACCCACACTTACTTTGGACAGCAGTTTGAAGATCTCGGTTTAAAAAATTGAATTTCTTTATCAGAAACCGCTGTTGTTCGGTCCCTATCAAATCACACATCAACAGCCTATAAATGTCCACTGCTGAGCAAACGCCTCTTCTCACACGGAGTAGGTTTGACCATTAATCACTACGCTTGCGCAATGCGGGTTGGCGATTTCAAACTGATAATTAGAAATTATAAGCCAAGGTTTCCTCACGTTGTTTTCCTTCGCCGTTTGTCAGTGGTGTCTAAATAATCTTAGAAAGTACATACAACTCGGAAAAAGTCATATTGGTACTTGCCGTTGGTAGGTTTCAATCCACGCGCGCATCCTCGTGCATGAGTAGTGCGCGTCCTAAACCTCTGGACCACCAATACATGCAGTTTGGTCTCTGTCAAATATGTACCGTACCTATATTTCCGTAGTCAGCTCGACCGACTACCGCTGCAAGAGTAGCAGTGATAATAATGGACTTTCCCGTCTCCTCACGGTATGGTATAGTTATTAATCAAAACCCTCATCCATATGGATGTTTTGATATCAAAACAAACAGGATATATTAAAACTAATACTAAAAATAACCTTTTCGTGTAAGAAACTGATTGAAAAATAATACAGAAATAGTCGTGGCCGAGACAAATTTATGAGTGCCAATAAATATGTATTGAAGTCTTTGAACCACATCCCGAGTGGGGATGAGACGGGATGAAAAGGGATGTAACTGGATTCGTACGAATGAGAACCATCCAATGCATTGTATTATGAAACGGAGACATTTTTAAATTTTATTTGTAGTTTCAAGTAGTGGAGTTAGTTTATATCGTTACAAGGTAAAAATTTTTTATTAAATAATAATAATAATTTTGATTCTTCACTTCACTATAGCGATAAAAATTGTCTGTGTAACCAGAAATGGTTGAAAAATTAAGAAACGAATACAATACAGTATTATTAACATGATACAAATAAGAACTGCATAATTTTATAATCTTTAATCTAGACTGCCAAAGATGTGGTACTTGATTCAATTCAATGAAAAGTGAACTATTTTTTGATTAATTTCTAGATATCAAAACAACACGAAATCTAAAACATGCTATACCATAATAAAATCAATACTAAGGTTATATTATAATGATAAATATGTAATTGAAACCGTCGTTTCCGCATACAATTCCATATTATTTACTTGTGTTGTAATCAGTCGTTATCACTTACATAATTTCTGCTTGATATCATCTGTGAATTGCCTATGTATTCATTATAGTACGGCGCCGGCTGATAAGACGCGATATTCGCTACCGTATTTTACATAGGAATGTGACAGACGCCTTTAGTGGGTAATACATAGTTAGAAGATTAATTTCAATTAAACTGATATTTAATTTTATTGTACGGTTATCGCAGTAGCTGGTCAATCGACTTCAGCTCAACATTTTGGGATTTGCTTCCCGCTTAAAACCCGATCTGCAGAGCTCTACAGATTATTTCAAATCATAGTGTCATAAGTTTATGAATCGATATGTTTGTGAACGCACCCACGACAGGAGACGACCAAAAAAATAAAGGTACAGTGGCCAGCACATCAAGTAACTCCTATGTGTTAATTTTGTCATTGGATTTTCGACTTTATCTACCGAAATGATAGAGTTGACAATCTTATATTTTATTTATGCTGCATCGTGCCTGGTGCTTAATAAATGTTTTTGTTTGTTTCTTTCTTTCTTATAAAGAAATATTATAAAACCGTAGGTTGACCTGCCCACTGTACTAAGTCTTTAATATGAATAGCTACGTTTATATTTATATATGTTAAATATTTCAGTGAACTTGAACAATGTACAGACATAACATATATGGTATGTTAAGAAGTTATCAAAATCCCCACTATCACTTACTACGATCGAAGATTAGTGTGGAATTTGTATTTTTATCGCATTATCTACAACGCCTTGTGTTTATACAATAAACACGGATTTTAATTGGACGAATTATACGTATTAGTCAATTTATAGACAGTTACGTTAAATGTGATAAAGTATGGCAGTCGTTAGTTACAAGAACTTCATAATTTATTCATTGATTTAGTTTTTCTCTTTTATTTCTACTACCAAACAAGGCTTTAGGAACAAGGAGCAAGGTATCTCCGGTTCGATTCCCGGGTTAAACATCTATTACTGAGATGATGTCTGTTATGTTATAAGTGAATCAGAGTCTGAGTTGAAAGAATTTCTTTTCGAACTGGGAATCGAACTCTACAACAAAAACACATCTCTTCGTTTACGTATAAAATACAAAACATAATTCTGTATTAAAACTGTATACAATACATAGACCGTACTTTGTTTTGTTCCCCATTTATCGATGTAAGTATCTATACATACAACTTGAAACCGATTAATCGGATAAAAGTTATTTCAAGTTTAATTCATAGATATGTTATCTGACCAGGTTTAACATTATGTATTTTATGATTACACAAGCGGGACCAAGGTCAATGTTTTTCCATTAAAATATACTAAACTTTTTTCGAAGTTTCACCATGTCTATTAATTTAACATAACATAACATCACGCCTTTTATCCCAAAGGGGTAAGCAGAGGTGCACATTATGCCACTAGACAATGTAACACCCACTTGTCATTATTTATGTTATGAGCCTATTGCCATATACCGGAAATAATTCCAGAGTCCGTGCTACTGCTGAGATTTTTTTAAAACCCATTACTTTGCCCAGGAACCGAATCCGAGACCCCATGCCCGGCAGTCGCACTTGCGACCACTCGGCCAACTAATTAATTTAACATTTAATAAACTCCCTTAAAAATTGGATTATGAATTATATCTTCAAAAGATTTGTGAGTTTAAACAAACAAACACAGCTGTATTAGGTAGATATACTGGCATAGATATTATACTAAGTATCGATAAATTACAAGTCATGCATATTTGCAAAATGTTATTTAATAATCTTAGATATTTCCAATATATAAATGAGTCTATCAGATCGAACTAATTTTATTCACGCAACGAAATACACACATGAATTGTAAAGTTTGCAAAAATCTTTCCTAAAACTCCTAAATAACACACAGCATCTGCATCTAAAAGTATGTCACTCTTATCTAGAGCCGTAACTTTATCTCAAACCACATTGTCAGAGGTGATAACGTACATAACTGATCGCGTGATAAAGTGATAACCTCACATTATATAGTACCGCGCGCCATGTATGACGTGGCTCTCGTCGTCGGCGCCGGCAGTAATCTCGGCTACCAAGTCCTCAAGAAACTCACAGAAACCTACAATGGAAAAATTTACTTCACAACCGAAGATGAGACCACTGGCTTCAACATCCTCAAAAACCTGGAAAGAGACAACCTAGATCTGAACTTCATACAAATGGACGTCACCTACACGAAGAGTATCATCAAGTTGAGGCACTACATCCAAGATTTGGACGAAAGAATAGACCTGATCATCAACGCCACAGACTACGTTCCAGAGAAAAGGATTTCGCTATCAGAAATTGTTAGGAGGACACTAAGTGTCAATTTCTATGGATACATTAATTTTGGTAAATTGGTGTACCCGATACTGAATGAGAACGCGAGGGTTATCAATGTATCAGGTCCTGCTGGTCTACTGGCTACTATAGAGAACGAAGAAATAAGGAGAAGGATAAGTGACTCTAATTTGACAGAAGATGAGCTGGTGGCCATCTTGCAGGATTACGAGCAGGCCGCAAGAAGAGGCACGGAGAAGACAGAAGGATGGGGAATGAGCGTGCACTGCGTCAGCAAAGTTGCTTTAAATGCAGTAACCTTCCTACAACACAGAGAATGGGCTAGTAAAGGTATAACAATTAATTGCGTGAACCCTGGCAATCTGAACAGCAAAGAAGGAAGGAAAACGGCAAGAGTCTACGAGGAAGGTGCCAAAGCAATTTTGTATTTGGCCTTTGAAGCGCCTTTGACGTTAAAAGGTAATTTTGTTTGGAGCAATTATTCTGTGATTGAGTGGAACTCTGACCCGTTTGTGGAGGTCACGACAGTGTAAATAAGTATTATATATTATATATATCGTATGAGATAATAACATGTTTGACAAACTCCACGGTAGATACTCGTGTGATGAACTCATGACTAATTTAAGAGTTTCAGAGCTAAACAGAAGTATACCTAAAAGTGATGTGGATAAAGTTGATAATATAATGTGTACATAATAAGAGCTAATTTAGAAAATAGTGACTGATATATTTATTGTTGAAGATGAATAATAAAATGTATTAAAATTAAAGTGTTGTATTATTCAGTGTACGTACAAGTGTTCATCATTATCGGTGTATTTGTGAAAAATAGAAGTCACTGCGGTGACTGATAATAATCTTATCAGATATTAGTCAACATTATTTGTATGTTCGAAGCATAATAAAACTATCACATCTGTCTGTTGGTCGGACATGAAACTCCATATAATCAAACCATTTTTCTTTTCTCAAACCTATATCCCTACACATATTATATTATTAGCCACTCTTCAGGATGCTTCATAGGTTTACTGATACAGTTACCGATTCTACTTTGAAACATCACGCCTTTTATGCCCGAAGGGGTTGGCAGAGGTGTACATTATGCCACTGTACAATGTAATACCCACTTTTCACTAACAAAACATTTATGTTATGACCCATGTAATAGGAGGTGAGCCTATTGCCATATACCGGGCACAATTCCAGACTCTGTGCTACTACTGAATCGAACCCGAGACCCCGGCAGTCGCACTTGCGACCACTCGGCCAACGAGGCAGTCGTATTATACTTTGTCTCCAATGAAAATGAAAAGATACATTTTCATTGCAACATCGTAAGTCAGGAAAAACTGAACTCACCTCTCTTTCACATAAAGAAAACACTTAATAAATAACAGATAACAATCAACAATACTATACTTTGATATTTTATCAACACTAGCTTCGAATCCAGATTCAACCGAATAATCAACTCCTAAGCAAATACCACAACAACACACTCCTACTGACCCCTTCAGGGAATAAGAATAATAATAGTGTTGGTACGTACATAACAAGCCTCGTTACTTAGCCTTCCTGTATCGCAGTTTGATTCCCAAGTCGGTCAGTATCATTAAACGGCTGTTAGTATTCACCTACTACGGTGAACCCTCCGTTAATTAAACTAGTACTAGCTACTAGAAATAGTTACGCTCTTGATATACAAAAATCAACCTTATTGTGGTGGGATAAAGAAGTTATTGTCAAAGTGAAAGCTTACTTAGGTGATTGTTTGGAAATCTGGTATGTAAAGATTTTCATTTGTATTATGTCAATTTTGAGGATCTTTTTAAAGAAATTTGAACTCTATAAATATGTGTCACTCAGTCCTATTTGGCATGCAAACACCTATGAGAGTTATACATAAAAATCTTAGTCAAGAAATGTACGGTTGACATGGCTATGCGATCAGCTGTTGTGCATCGTGCTGTGAGTTCGATTCCCGTATGGATTATGGAGTTTTTCAACAACATAAAGAGAAAATATCTATTCGATAACTCGTTAATTGATGCAATCAGTTTTGCAACCACCAGACCAAATAGGTATTAAAGTATTTTATTATAAAATAAATTAAATACTTGGAAATACATAATCCGCGCTTTTCATCAATATATGAACTTTATGAAAACATAGTGGAACAATGTACTTTATATATAGGCATGTAGAGTACATTTTAAGTAGATTAAAATTACAAGCGCTTGCATTGAATTTTATTTTAAAGAATTTCATGTTAATTAGATTGAGCTTGTATCGGCTATGTAGGCTGTACATACCTGAATTAATGACTTATGTACATACAAAACTTGCAGAAAAAAGAGGTTTTCACTGAGCTTCACTGGCTAAGTAGTGACATTTCGATATTTACAAGAATGTGGTATAGTTTTAAAACCGTACATTTTCGCTGAACATATATTTTGTTATTTAGGCAGGTATTGGTCCCAGCTATCACCCCTCACAGTATGATGCACTATTTACTGGACACCCTATATAACAGACTTTATGACGAAACTCATTTTTACTACTTAACTTAACTTTACGCCTTTTATCCCCGAAGGGGTAGGCAGAGGTGCACATTACGGCACTTAATGCCACTGTACAATGTAACACCCACTTTTCACTATTATATGTTATGATTCCCGTGTGAGACTTTTGCACATTTCCAGACTCCGTGCTACTACTGAGATTTATTGAAAAAACCGGAAACTCCTTGCCCGGCTGTCGCACTTGCGACCACTCGGCCAACGAGGCAGTCAACTACTACTATAGAGACAAAACAAATACAATATTGCATCTAATCTTCACCTGACTGCCAAGTAATACTTCTTATTTTCGATCTTCCAGCTATAAAAAATTTAAAAGAAAAAATAAATTGTATTACTCTATATCCATTATTTAAACATTATGCATCTTCAATCTCAACAATAACAATATAAAACGTCTTAAAAAGTAATCTTTTCAAGTGGACACTGCAATCGAAATAAAGTGTAAATTCAGTTTTGCATTCATTGCGCGCGACCCACGTGTTTATTGCAGTGTTAACAGCAGATACAAGTCAATGTACAGTGCGTGGTACGATTTTATTGCAGATCGAAGGATACTGAGGTGCCTAAGCTCTCGTAAAATCACTTTTTACTGTCTCCGAAGGTAATTTCACTGATCGTTCCGTAGAAGTGCAGATTGTCTTTAAATGGCCCAGTTTTCTAAAGCCAAGACTTTATTGCAAAGGATTAGAGACGGTTTTCCAATGGCAAGTTTATCTATGACTTTCAATTAAATGGGAGGACTAGATTATTTCTTCAGTTAAGTTGTGTCTTTAATTCGCTGTACCTGGCCTGTTCGCGTTCACTCTTTTGAGAATTTATTTAAATAAAGCTCGTCTATTTTGTCTCAAATTTACTCCAAGTAAAGGAAAATAGTTGAAATGTATTTTAATGTAAGTTTTTGTTTAAAAACAGTATATTCTCGAAGGTTTTTATAATTAGTATACTTTAACTCTTTAGAAGGTTAGTGTAATGTTGAGTATATTTTGACAAATATGCACTACACTTACGAACAAGAATAAATACTGACAGAACGAATACTGACAGTTTGGACAGACCAAACTACCTAACCTAACTGGCTGTGTATTTCAGTTTTCTTAGATTGTGATCTACTACAAACACAAACACAGAAACATTGTTAGTCTAAACATTCAAGGCCAAAAAGGTAAAAAGATAATTGTTTCTTTATACATTTATAAACATTTCCTTTTGTGGACGCGACAGTACCATCTTTTAATTATAACAAATTACGTTTCTTAGGATTAATCTTAGAAATTACAATTTTAAGAAGTCCCCTTGAGCGTGGCTTATAATTTTGTTTTATACAAAATACGCTGTGTTTTTCTTGACCTTGTCATCTGCAGTTATTTAATTACCTACCTAGCTAGCTATATATATACAAGGTATGTGCAACTTCTCAAATTATAACAAAATATTTATAGCAGAGGAGAACATACGAATCTATTATCTTACTTAGGTCTGGGTACATAATTCTTAGACCAAATTGGAAAAATAGCTTAACTTATACTACTTGTAATAAATGATTTTGACTTTTACTTTGACATTCAACGTCAAGCATAATTGAAACAATATTTTACTTCAATATAAATCTCAGTACGAAATAAATTAAGGCTTAAATCATTTTTAATTATACTACAAAGTGCGAAGGCGACGAAATATTCTTGCAAGCCAGTGTTAAACACAAAGCCAGTAATGACACGTCAGCAGCACGCGACGTACCGCGGTGTTGCGCGTGACGTCACCGCTACGCCATTATGCCACTACACCGCTACATCACTACGCCACTATACCACTACACCAAATAATCCTAGGTTGAGTATATTTTTAAGCAAAAAATGACATAAAGGATTATTATTGTCATATTTTATTTGAAAGAGGATTATCGGTTCGGTTGAAAATGAAATATAATAAAAAACTAAAAAATCACGAAACATTTTATAATAAAAACCACTATTTAGATACCTGACTTAACAAATACGTAGGTTAAATGTTACACTTAACATTTTAAGATATATTAATCAACATGTCTTACTTGTCATTGTCATAGTATCTAGTCTAGAGTATTACTAAATACAACAAAGAATATTCCAATATATCAGATAAAACTAAAACTAATAAATAAAATACAGAAGCTAGTTTAGATAAGTGATTGTATCTAAAGCGATGGCGCGACTGTCTTAACTTTTTCTTCCTGATGAGTTAATTAATTAAACTTTCCTACTTTTTGCTTAGTCAGCCGATTCAGTTCCCGGTTCGAGTAATTGGTAGCTACGGAGCACTAACTAACGAGAATGCAGTCGTCTTTTTACGTGACAAATTTTGCATTAGACGCTAATTGTTTGATGAGGAGCATTAACATATATTTTTAGTATTAAAATCCAACTACTGGGCAAGATATCTGGAGTTGAATTCATGAGTCGGACAAACTAACAAAGTATTATTGGGATTGTGTTATTAACAGACAGAGCTTTTTTAAGGGTGGAAAATCATCGAATGACTGCTCCCGCCTGTGTGAGGTGAGAGGGAGTGTCAGACTCTTATTGACTAAAAACCAAACCGTTTCTTCTCCTGCACGTCGAGCCGGAGCCCCGGTAACCCGTTAATATTGGTATATAGAATGGAACCAGGCATTACTTTGCGGAAATCCATGCTACACTAGCAACTGCAAAAATATTTAATTTTTATTCCGCCGAAGAAATGAATTTGCAGCATGCAGTATGCAGCACCGCGCTCTTGCCCGCAGATAAACGCTCCTGCAACAGAGATGCGACACAAAACACACACACGACATGTGGAGGAACGAAACATACGTCGTGTGGCCCAAATGGTTTGTTGCGTGTCGTGTTTTTCAAATTTATTCCTTCAATAGAATAAAAACTAAATATTTTCCCAGTTATTAGTTTAATGTTGGTGCCTGTTTTGTAGCA